TGCATAATCATCTATTGTGACTGTTAGTATTCAAAATATTTAACCTGGATTTCAGATCAAATTCTCAAGTAGGTGCTGGTACTATGCTTTGGTATATCCCTAGTTTTGCAATAATTGTATTAATCGATGAGCTCTATCTATCGTTCCTGCATATAAGTCATGCTAAACATATGGACATTAATCAGTATCCGTATGCACACTGCATATATGCGGATTCTATTATCACCGATGACATGTCCCTGCAGCATTCAGTATTTAAATCGGTGTCTTTGCTTGTTTATTTGTACCTCTCGTTCTCTGAAAGGTAGAGGTTGCGCAAGCTAAAGTATACTTCGAATGTTTGTGTAACGCCTACCCAGGCTTTAATATTTTATCCATGCCTGTGTAGAGTAGGTTATTATGCTCTCGATCATTTGTTTAGCCTGTCTGTCACACTTCTCGACGTACCTTATACGTCAGGCATTGCGCCTAAAGTTCTTTTGCGTTGGTTTATTCACAACAAGCTTGCCAATAGTTCTTTTGAACAACACCAGAACCCTTCAGTATCCATCACTCGATGATACCTACTTCAGCCTAGGGGGTTGGGGCTAGGGTTTTACGTCTAGGCGTTGATATCCGGTCGATGGGGTTGGGTATGTATCTGGCTTAGTCATGGACCAACTTAATCTGCACCTTTCATTGTTGTCTGTTCAGTTCAAAGGTCGACGGCACAAAGGCAGTAGAGTATCGCTTGAAGGCGAGCCGGAAAGCAAGTGGATGGTCGTGAACATGGGAGACATCCAGGTATGCACGCGTGCATGCGAAGATAAGCGCAGGATATCGCTTGTGGGATGCAGTTAGGGGCAGACGAATTTTCTAAGTATACGGACAACGTATCGTAGTTAGGAATAGTGAGGGAAGTATTAATAGGCAGGAATACCGGATAAATAGTAACGTAGGCATTAAGGTCGACACGAGTGTATCCAGGCTGGCAGGTGGTCTAAATTGAGAGAGTGTGAACCTGACCAGTACTTGTTTTGGGCTGTCCCGTATTTTCTGTGTGTAGATGAGATGTCCTATTCGTTGCAGCAACGGGTGCATATACATACACCTGTTGGATCACATCACATACACACATCCGAACCAAGTGGACTAATAACGGATCGCCCTGCGCAGATCCATTTGATGGAGGAGAACCTTCGGAGAAGATACGAATTAGAGAAGTTGTGGACTTTGGGCCGAGACGACGAACAGTTGAGGATTATGGGAGACAACACAGCCATCATGAAAGACCCAGGACACTAGTTTTAGGGTTTAGGGTTCAGTGGGAGGCAGTAAGGTGATATTTATTTCGGAGGCTATGGTAAAGCAGCCATCAATTGGGAATATATATATATACATATATATATATATATATATATATATATATATATATATAATAATAATAAATAATA